GTCCTGTAGTTCATTCAATGTAATTGGACAATCCAGTGTGTTCTGGTAGTCTTTAATAGTTGATTCTAAGATTTGCATTTGATCATGTATATTTTTTTGCTGTTTGATCTTTGTTATAGGGCCAAAAAGATTAGAGAAGTGGTTTATCCATACATCTCCCGTGTTGCTCAGTTGGTAGAGCATGGCGTTTGCAACGCCAGGGTTGTGGGTTCGATTCCACGGGGGACCAGTATGAAAAAATTTATGCACTCACTAACTGTAAGTCGCTCTGGATAAGAGCGTCTGCTAAATGACTAAAATGTAAATGTAAATCTCAGTTTGGATAGATAGCTCTTCGTGTTGTTGTTTGTTTTCCAATTTTCCCAGAAGTGGTTAGAGTCTATGGATTCTTCAATTACACTGAGCTGATTTCTGATGTGCTGTTCCTTCTTTTTCTGTAGTGTATTTCTGTATTGTATTAGTGATTCACCATAGTGAAGGCGTAGGCTCAGGTTTTCTGGGTCTCAATGTTTTTGGTTGGATAGGTTTCTCAATTTCCTTCTTAGGTTTTTGCATTCTTCATCAAACCATTTGTCATTGTTGTTACTTTTCTTCAGTTCTCTGTTAGAGATTTTTAGATTTGATAGGGAAGCTGAGAGGTCAAAATACTGTTTAGGTTTTCTACTGCCAAGTTTACACCTTTACTATTACAGTGGAACGTTTTGTCTGGGAAGTTGTCTAAAAGGGATTGAATTTGTTGTTGCCTAATAGTTTTTTGGTAGGTTTTGACACTACTTTCCTTCCATCTATAGCATTTCTTAATATTATTCAGTTCCTTTGGCTTTGATGCCTCATGATTGAGTATTGCTCTGTTCAAGTAGACTGTGATTTTGCTGTGGTCTGATAGTGGACTGACTGTGAACGCTCTGAGAGACTCTGGGTTGAGGTCAGTGATAAAGTAGTCTACAGTACTACTGCCAAGAGATGAGCTATAGGTGTACGTACCATAGGAGTCCCCTCAAAGCCTACCATTGACTATGTACATACCCAGCGTGCGACAGAGCTGCAGGAGTTGTGACCCATTTTTGTTGGTTATGTTGTCATTGTTGTGCATAGGGGGGCATATGGGGGAGAGAATGCTGTCACCTCCAGGCAGGTGTTTGTCTCCCTGTGTGCTGAGGGTGTCAGGTTCTTGTCCAGTTCTGGCATTTAGGTCGCCACAGACTAGTACATGTCCCTGGGTCTGAAATTATTGATTTCCGCCTCCAGGATGGAGAAGCTGTCTTCATTAAAGTATGTGGATTCTAGTGGGGGGATATAGGTAGCACACAGGAGGACATTTTTCTCTGTTGAGATAATTTCCTTTTGAATTTCTAGCCAAATGTAAAATGTTCCTGTTTTGATTAATTTAATAGAGTGAGTTAGGTCTGCTCTATACCAAATTAGCATACCCCCTGAGTCCCTTCTCTGTTTCACACCTGGTAGTTTGGTGGATGGGACTACCAGCTCTCTGTAATCTAGAGGGCAACCAGTGGGTCCGTCTTCTCTATACCATGTTTCTTGTAGGATGACAATGTCTGTATTTCCGATTTCTTTGGTGAAGTCCAGGTTCCTGCTCTTTAGGCCAAAGGCAGATGACCTCGGGCCTTGGATATTCCAGGATGAGATAGTAAAGGCTTTGTTTTCCATAAAGTGTCTAATGTTGTTGGTCGTGTGGTTTGGCCTCAGGCCAGTAAGTGTGAGCAGAGCCTGCTGGGCATCTGGTACATGCCATTGGCTTGGGCTAGTGTAAGAGTGAGGGTTGGGCCTGTTTAACGGCTCAACAAGACCCTGGGCGTATGTGTGACTTTTATGTTGAGGCCCTCTTTGCGGGAGTGGGGGGCATGGGGTGGGTAGGAGGGGCATAGGTCTGTGTTTGTCCTCAGTGGGTGTGGGGCGGTCATCAGGAGGGCTAACAGGGTGGCTGACAGGGGGGGTGGTCAGAGGGGTTGGGATCCCCTGGGCTTGGGGTTCTTCATTTGTTTGTCTGGCTGTGATATCGAGGCTATGATCAGGGTCTAGGGTGTACTGCTCTGCTGCGGTGTCGAGACTTTGGTCAGGATCTGAGGTGGGCTGTTCTGCTGGCTTCTCTGCAGGGGTGGCCAGCTCTCTAACAGGTTGTTCTCTGTCACCCGTCATCGTTCTCACCTTCTCCTCCAGCACTCTGATCCTCTCCTCTAGTGCTCTGTTCTTCTCCTGCTCCTGCTCTTTCTCCTGTTGATGTTGATTTATTTGATTAGGTGAAAGTCCAGCTCAAACGGTTTGGGGTTGACCTGTAACAAATCAAATCGATTTGATTTGGTACAGGGCAACCCCAAACCGTTTCAGCTGGACTTTCACCTAATCAAAGAAATGTGTCCCATGCGCTAAATACAACAGGTGTAGACCTTACAGTGAAATGCTTACTTACAAGCCCTTAACCAACAATGCAGTTTTAAGAAAAAATACCCCAAAAAATCACAAAATAATACAATATAAAATACGAAATAAAAGTAACAAATAATTAAAGAGCTGCAGTAAAAATAACAATAGCGAGGCTATATACAGGGGTATGGTTACCGAGTCAATGTGCGGGGGCACCGGTTAGTCGAGGTAATTGGGGTAATATGTACATGTAGGTAGAGTTATTAAAGTAAACATTGTCACCAGTGGCTGGAGTCTTTGACAATTCTTAGGGCCTTCCTCTGACACCGCTTGGTATAGAGGTCCTGGATGGCAGGAAGCTTTGCCCCAGTGATGTACTGGGCCGTACGCACTACCCTCTGTAGTGCCTTGCGGTCGGAGGCCGAGCAGTTGCCATACCAGGCAGTGATGCAACCACTCAGGATGCTCTCGATGGTCGAGCTGTAGAACCTTTTGAGGATCTGAGGACCCATGCCAAATCTTTTCAGTCTCCTTAGGGGGAATAGGTTTTGTTGTGCCCTCTTCACGACTGTCTTGGTGTGCTTGGACCATGTTAGTTTGTTGGTGATGTGGACACCAAGGAACATGAAGCTCTCAACCTGCTCCACTACAGCCCTGTCGATGAGAATGGGGGCGTGCTCGGTCCTCTTCTTTTTCCTGTAGTCCACAATCATCTCCTTTGTCTTGATCAAGTTGAGGGAGAGGTTGTTGTCCTGGCACCACACGGCCAGGTCTCTGACCTCCTCCCTATAGGCTGTCTCGTCGTTGTCGGTGATCAGGTCTACCGGTGTTGTGTCATCGGCAAATGTAATGATGGTGTTGGAGTCGTGCCTGGCCATGCAGTCATGAGTGAACAGGGAGTACATGAGGGGACTGAGCACGCACCCCTGAGGGGCACCCGTGTTGAAAATCAGCGTGGCGGATGTGTTGTTACCTACCCTTACCACCTGGGGGCGGCCCGTCCAGTTGCAGAGGGAGGTGTTTAGTCCGCAATAGTTTGCAAGCCCTGCCACATCCGACGAGCGTCGGAGCCCGTGTAGTACGATTCGATCTTAGTCCTGTATTGACGCTTTGCCTGTTTGATGGTTCGTCACAGGGCATAGCGGGATTTTTTATAAGCTTCCGGGTTAGAGTCCCGCTCATTGAAAGCGGCAGCTCTACCCTTTAGCTCAGTGCGGATGTTGCCTGTAATCCATGGCTTCTGGTTGGGGTATGTACGTACAGTCACTGTGGGCACGACGTCATTGATGCACTTATTGATGAAGCCAGTGACTGATGTGGTGTACTCCTCAATGCCATCGGAAGAACCCCAGAACATATTCCAGTCTGTGCTAGCAAAACAGTCCTGTTGCTTAGAATCTGCTTTATCTGACCACTTTTTTTATTGACCGAGTCACTGGTGCTTCCTGCTTTAGTTTTTGCTTGTAAGCAGGAATCAGGAGGATAGAATTATGGTCAGATTTTCCAAATGGAGGGTGAGGGAGAGCTTTGTACGCGTCTCTGTGTGTGGAGTAAAGGTGGTCTAGAGTTTTTTTCCCTCTGGTTGCACATTTAACATGCTGGTAGAAATGAAGTAAAACGGATTTAAGTTTCCCTGCATTAAAGTCCCCGGCCACTAGGAGCGCTGCCTCTGGATGAGTGTTTTCCTGTTTGCTTATGGCCGTATACAGTTCATTGAGTGCGGTCTTAGTGCCAGCATCGGTTTGTGGTGGTAAATAGACAGCTACGAAAAATATAGATGAAAACTCTCTTGGTAAATAGTGTGGTCTACAGCTTATCATGAGATACTCTACCTCAGGCGAGCAAAACCTCAAGACTTCCTTACATATCGTGCACCAGCTGTTGTTTACAAATATACATAGACCGCCACCCCTTGTCTTACCAGAGGCTGCTGTTCTATCCTGCCGATACAGTGTATAACCCGCCAGCTGTATGTTATTCATGTCATCGTTCAGCCAAGACTCTGTGAAACATAAGATATTACAGTTTTTAATGTCCTGTTGGTAGGATATTCGTGCATGTAGTTCGTCCATTTTATTATCAAGCGATTGTAAATTGGCCAATAGTATCGATGGCAAAGGCAGATTAGCCACTCGTCGCCGGCTCCTTAACAAGCACCCCGATCTCCTTCCGCGATATCTCCTTTTCTTTCTACTGCGAATGATGGGGATGAGGGCCCTGTCTGGAGTGAATCCCTCTCGTCCGACTCATAAAAAGAAAATTATTCGTCCAGTTCAAGGTGAGTAATCGCTGTTTTGATGTCCAGAAGCTCTTTTCGGTCATAAGAGACGGTAGCAGCAACATTATGTACAAAATAAGTTAAAACAATGCGAAAAAACACACAAAATAGCACGATTGGTTAAGAGTCCATAAAACGGCAGCCATCCCCTCCGGCGCCATCATAAACCAATACTGTTCCATATTTATAGAGATTTATATTAGCTGACTCAGAGTCCTCGTTGTCTAGTGTCCTGAGTTTCCACTCATCGCTCTCTCTCTCTCTCCTCCCCCCTCTAGACGGTATGCCAGTGAAGTTGCCCTGTATGTCCATGAAGCTGTCGCCTCCTCTACCTCCTAAGAAGCTGATGATCTGTGTGGGTGCGAGGGGGAGCATGGAGCCCTCGGCCCTCACCTTTCAGAAGTGCATCTCTCCCTCCCACCATGTGGGGTCCCTTGGGGGCCACTCCCTACACTACGGGACCCTCCCTGTGCCCCTACACCCCCCCAGCCGCATCATAGAGGAACTCAACAAGACCCTGGCCCTCACTATGCAGCGATACAAGAGGTGAGGATGAAGGAGAAGTGTGTGTCTATCCATGCCTCCATGTGGATGGATTCAGTGGTTCACATATCCAGTCTGCCTTGTACTCTATTCCCATTGGTCCTGCCCTGTGCCTACACTACAGCGGTGTGTTGGATTGTGGGTAGTTGGATAGTTGGATGGGGTTGTTAAGGAGCTTGTTAATCATGTGACTAAGGGTTTTTAATCAGTGAGGTTAAATTTGGAGTTACCACAATACAGATGTAGGATCCTAATTTGATCAGACTGTTGCAGGAGGTTTAAAAAGGCTTCTGACATGATTTTCCCTTACGGAAAATATATCTACCCCTACAAAAATGTCCATAAATTACAATCCACATTATTATTCATGTCCTATTGCTTCAGGATTATTTTTTTGCTGTAGCAAACTGGCTCACCTACATCTGCACTCTAGGCAGCATTTTGAAACGTCTGGTCAATCATACACATCTCAGTACAGAGACCATTTAATGCACTAATTCCCAGAGCCTTGGCTTTACCTCTGGGTGTATGTGTATCATTGGCTGGTGTCTAACCAGTTCAGACCAATTTAGAGCACCACCAAAAACGCACACACACACCATCTCCATCAGTCATCACACATGTGGAAAAGACTCTGCAATCGACCCACACACTCTGTGACTGATGTGCCAGCGCCAGATTGGCCTCCCATGATCCATCACTCTGATTGGTGGGCCAGCAGGGGGTTATGGACTCAAGCGCATAATAGATGTAGGCATCCTATTCCTTTTGTAGTCCTTCTTGTTTTACTCAGTTGCTGTCTAAATGTGTCTAAATGTTATGTTAGCAAACCTTGTTATTTTTGGCCGGCCTAAAGGCACACCTAAACTGAGTTTGTAAAAGCAACAGAGATCATTATTCTCCAGTATGGGAGCTCCACAGTTGCTAGTTTGCTGCTTGTTTTCCTGTCTGCTCCTGTGCTGTTTTCCTGATTGATGATGCTGCCTCAAGGCTCATTTATGATTGGTTTGCAGTTTGTTTTTGCTGTGCCTCATGTCTCCCCTATGGTTGACACAGGCTGTGTGTTTTAGGTGTGGTAATGTGAGTCTCTACATCCTACCATGTCTGTTACATCCAGTCAGTCTAAGTCATGCAATGCTTCCCTGCAGAGTGAGGTACCAATATTATTTTAGGAGCCACTGACTGTGAGAATTAAGAGAGCTGTTCTGATTCTCTGGCTTGTTTTTCTACAGTGTTTCAGTCTTGTTTTTTCAGTTGAGTTGAGGTGCCGTTTACATGAGTTCCAGAGGTTATAGGTCATAGCTCCTTTCGTAATAACTGATGGTGGAAACATAACCTGACATTACCTAACTACTCCCCTGTCTGTCTAACACCACACACACACGGATGGACAGACACACATGCCCACCATCTCTTGCTAACCTTTTACCTTTCTCACCGACCTCAGCTCGCTGCACCACGCGGTTCCCACAGTGATGATAGCATGTGACTACAATAAAGAGAACCTCCCCAACGAGGAAGACTATCAAGAACTACCTGGTTCGTACAGGGACGAGGATGATGAAGAGGATGAGGAAGAGGAGGAGGAAGATGATGATGAAACACTCTTTACAAGTAGGTGTTTGTTTATCCATCATTGGTTTGGGACCGTAGTGGCTGTTTGGTCTCTGCTTGGTGCCCCTGCTTCCTGGTAACAGCCTCAATGGCTGCTGGGATATGCAGTTTAAGAACTCTCCTTTTATTGGACCCCTCCATTCAGAGCTGTGAATCCCATTGGTTTTCGTCCCTGATTTGAGTGTTGAATGTGACCAGTCAAAGCACTGAGGTGACAGTGTTGAGAGGTGTTGCGTAACCTCGGTCTGTTATGTCATGAAACACACACACACCATGGCTGGTCCTCAGATCCCCTGTTCCAGTAGTTCCCTTCACTCCTTTTCATAAGCAGTTGTGTGAATTATTGATTTGAGGCACATTATGTTTATGAGGTATTTATACACACCTCTCTCCTCTCTGTAATAGGGTTATGTAAACAGAAGAGTGGGTTGGAAACAGTAAACACACAAACACAGTCCCATCCTCTAGCTCACACTGGAGAGGGTAACTGCTGTGACAGTTTAATTGCTAGGGCATGAGTTAGCTGTGGTGCTAGTAATTCCAATTTTATCAAAATGTTATGGACAAAGTTTGCTGATCTTATACTGGCCTCTCTAAAAAACAATTTGTGCTTGTGTGTGTACGTGTGTGTATAGGTACCCTGGCACTGAAGGTATTGAGGAAGGACTCCCTGGCCATTAAGATCAGTAACCGTCCGTCACAGAGAGAACTGGAGGAGAAGAACATACTGCCCACACAGTCAGACCAGGAGAAACTGGAGTTCAGGCAGCAGATAGGCACTAAGCTCACACGGTGAGAGACACACACACACATACAGATGCACACCCTCCCTATAGCAACGGAGAGACTTGAGTCACGTTAACATATAGGCACAAGGTCGCATGGAGAGAGTAAAATTCACACATACAAACACACGCAGGCTCAGCTGCTCTTACACATTGCATACAGTCAAAACAATTGCAGAGAGAGAGAGAGAGCGAGAGAGAGAGAGAGAGAGAGAGAGAGAGAGATAGAGAGAGAGAGAGAGAGAGAGAGAGGAGGAGAGAGAGAGAGAGAGAGAGAGAGAGGAGAGAGAGAGAGAGAAAATATGGATGAGCGGTAGAGGAGGGAGGGAGAGTAGCAGAGAGCCTGTCACATTTTTATCTTGAATATGCCAGTGAGAGGGCGGACATCTTCAAGTGGGATTTTACCCTCACAGAGTACAGAACATGAATACAGGTGTGGCAATATCAATTATGTATATAAACCCTGGATTGCTGATGCAATGTATTGGCCATTGAGAGGCTTAGAAGCCACCAGTCGGCCATATTGGCACTGCCGAGTAGGAGCAGTCCTCCATAGGAATGCATTGAATTATACAGTATTTCAATTAAGGATAAAATTACATATATTAAGTATTTTTCTGTTGTAGTGGGGACAGTAACATTAGTAATCTCAAAAAAATTATACTTTAAGGAAAATGTTTATATATTTTTGTATACTTATGTTTAGCTCACATAATCTAATTTTAAAGTATGCATTAAGGTGGCTGTAATATAATAAATGTAGCAAAAACTAAAGTAGACATTAATAAATGCATTTCTATAGCTTCCAAAATATTTTTTACAGTGGTGGGGGAGTGCGAAGATGGAGGCACAGTGGCTTTAACACAGCGCCCCCTATCAGTAAACTAATGTATATATAGATCATTGGGCAATACAGGAAGAAAACGGAATTCACAAACAATTTCCTTTCTTCTATTGCCTCCCACTCTCATTTGTCACACTCACTACAACTTGCCTTTTCCCTCACTCCATCTCTTCCTTCCCTCCCTCCATGTATCTCCTTCTCTACCTCCCTCTCCATCTCTCTGCTCCCCCCTCCCTACTCCTTCCTCCCTCCCCTTTCTCCATCTCTTTCCCTCCCTCTTGTTGCTGTATGAATAATTGTGTCAGACTGTAGAGGTGGTAAATAAATACATGTAAATCTGAGGCAGTCAGGGCTCACAGAAAACCTGCTCTGACATCAGCAAATAAAACACAATAAAACAAAACACAATAAAACACGTTAGGAAATGGTCCCGACTGACTCTAGTTCTATTTTCTCAGGAGATTGAGTCAACGGCCAACTACAGAAGAGCTGGAACAGAGAAACATACTCAAACGTAAGTAGCACAGACTAGAAAGGCAGAAGACACATTTCCATTTCTCACGAAATTGATAATTAAGTGTCTTTTCTGTTTTATTCTATTCTAACCTGTCTCGCCCTCTCTCCCCTATCTCAGGGCACAATGAGCTGGAGGAGCAGGAGGAGATGAGAGAGCTCAAGAAACGCCTGTCGAGAAAGGTGAGAGAGGGGAGGAAGAGGGTTAGAGGGGGGGGGGGATTGGGTATCAATTTCCATTAGATGACAGACCATTGGAAATATGAGTGTGTGTGTGTGTGGTGACCCTCAATCACCTCACACACACACACAGGGCCAGCCCTAGGCATAAATGACATAATTGACTGCTTAGGGCCCCACGGCCGCTAGGGGGCCCCAGACCCAAAATACAATTATAGTTGTCTTTTTTTACAAGAAAATTAGAATGGGGTCGCAACGACAGGTTATCCATTATATTGACCAGATACTCTAATGGCCGATCTAAAGATTAAAATAAATGTCTTAAAAAATGGAAGGCAGTCGGGAAGAGGCAAGATCAGGTGGAACCATTCTAGCCAATGAGAGGGCTATATGCGTTTAAACAACTGGCACAACGCCGATATAAAGTGTTTTTTCTCAAAGTTGACGTGTCACGTGTCCTACTTATATCAGTACACTCGTAACAGGCTAAGCATTTCAAAACTTCTATTCGATCAAATAAGCCACACGTAGTAAATAAGCCATTCCATTTTTTGTTAACCAAATAAAATAAAACGCCACCTGCTGGAGAAGACAGATTTTGGGCCCAGTTATCCCTCTCGCTTTGCCTCTTCCTCTCTGTTTCAACTTACTGTTGAGAGTTAGAATAGTAGAATACACAAGGTGCAATTTTGAAATTTGGTTGTGCATCAGCAGTTTTTCTCTTGTTATGTCAGTCACTGACAGACACCAACAACATTTAGCTTAGAGCCCCCAAAAGACTAGGGTCGGCCCTACACACACACACTCTGATAACCCTTTTTTTACCCTGTCCCCAGTTAAGTCAGAGGCCCACGGTGGAGGAATTGAGGGAAGCTAAGATCCTGACCCACTTCAGTGACTATGTAGAGGTGGCTGATGCTCAGGACTACGACAGGAGGGCAGACAAACCCTGGACACGACTCACAGCTGCTGATAAGGTAATAACACTCACACTCACATGCAGGTGTGAACACACACACATACACAAATGCACAGTCATTTGAATACTGTTTTCTCCGACTTATCTCTGGCTCTGTTTGTCCCTCGTAGGCTGCCATACGTAAAGAACTCAATGAATTTAAAAACACAGAAATGGAAGTGCATGAGGGTAGTCGCCATCTCACCAGGTATGTACTGTATGTCACAGCCATACTACAAGCTGCAAGACAACACAAAGACACTAGCCCATATCTCAAGCCGTATACAGTAACTATTTGAAGAGTTTAATTCCAAAACGCTATATGTCAATTTTCAGAAATGTTGGTAAATTAGCTTTTATTGTTTAAAGAAATTATGAAAGAGGTTGGTGTGCTTTTTCATTATCTAATCATGGCATGGGGTTGTTCAATGACAGACATGTATTTGTTTAAAATGTATCACTTGGTGGTTTCATTTCAGAGACATTTAGTTTTTTTCCCACAATAAATAGTACTGCTAGGTTTTATACAGTCAAATGTAACAAATAACTATATTTTTTATAAAGAAATGTACAAATGATACATTTGTTACATCAATATTTAATAATTAGAAGACAGGCGCAGGAATACGTATTAGTTTTTTAAATTTCTCCACCCAACACAAGGTACGTCATGAAAAACAACGGGGACGAAGCCCAAAACAAACACGTGTGAATATAACACAATGATGTAACCCAAACAAAAGAGCGAGGTGTAAACCTCTAAATAATACACGGGACAAGACCCTTAATAACAAGAGCACAATACACGGTACTCACGAGACCAACGGACATGGGACAATAATCGACCAGGACAATGGGGAACAGAGGGCACATATATACACATACTAATCAGGGGGAATGGGAATCAGGTGTGCGTAATGAGACAAGACAGTCCGGGGTTGGTGGTAATGAACCAGGTCAGTGACGCCTCGAAGACCGGTGACGTAGACCTCCGGAGCTGGTGAACGGAATGAGCAGCAGTACCGGGGGGGATCTGTGACATCAATACAGTAATATGAGATCTGTAAAACATTTTAGTAATTTAGCAGATGCTCTTATCCAGTGCATTCATCTTAAGATAGGTGAGACAACCACATATCACAGTTAAATATACAGGATACGAACATTCCATTCCATTTAAACAATGAATATAGCGTTTAGGAAAAAAAGCACCTTTTCATACACATCTAAAATCTATGAATAAAAAATCTGATAACAGTAATATTTTACACACACATGAAGGTACCCATAAGCAATCATTTCTGATGAAAAAACACAAATGTTTAAAATTGGTGGATATAGCGTTTTGGAAATAAACTCTTCAATTATCTCTCTCTCTCCCTCTCTTTCTCTGTCCTGTAGGTTTCATCGACCATAGTTCTTCTTCTGCCATCTTTTACAAGAACCTCAAGTGCTGGACCGCAAACTACTGCCTCTGTGTACCACACCCCATCGCTTCCAGACCAGAACACAACAAGACCAGAACTGGACCAGAACCACACTAGAACCAGAGTAGAACATGTTCTGAAACTGACCCGAAATGTAATCTGAACCTGGAGGGGTGTGTGTACAGAACTGGGCAGCTGACACTACTCCAGGCTCCAGTGTTGCCCCAAAATAGGCGCTAATAACTGGAGAGGGCAGACTGGACCAATCGCAACAGTATCTTGGTCCTGTGGTTATAGAGCGGTCACAGTGTGGTCGTGTTGGGGTTGCAGAGAGTGAGCGTCGTACACATGGAGAGAGACTGATGGAAAGCACTGGACGGACTGACTGGGTCCTCCTCTAAATGGAGATTATATGGACTAAAAAGTATTGTTTTTAACAGCCTTTTATTCTAATTTTTTATGATGGAGATAGTTAATGTGTTTACTTTACTGCACTTTGGTTTTTGACGGTACTCTATGGAGGGGTTATGGAACTCTATTCCTATATCTGTGCCAATGAGACTTTGGGATTGTGGGAGATTGAGTTTGGGAGGGCACCCGTAAGGAATACAGAGAGACATCCTACAACTGATTGGTAAAAATGATTCTCCTCCAAGGGTTGTTGTTCCTGCCTTTTAATACTTTTTGGTACATTGTTAGTTTGACTGTTTTCCATTGTGGGCTGCTGTTTCCAAAACAGAGGGACCAAATCCTTTTAATCTGATAGTACTGCAGAATAGTATTCTGTAATAAGTGTGTTGCGGTTAAAGTACTACGTACAATACCGTATACGGTATGTGCTACTCTGAAGGAAACTGTAGTAGGAGAATATGATCAGAATATTTACCTCTAAAAAAGTTGAAATGCAAATATAGATATAGAAATGTGAACCTAGCAATAATTGAACTTCTCTTTCCTCCATCTGTCTCTCTTTCTTGGCTGCATTCAAGTGAACAATTACTGGGAACATTTCAGAGATCTACCCGCTCAATGGTGGTCCTCTGTAGCTCAATTGGTAGAGCATGGCACTTGTAACGCCAGGGTAGTGGGTTCGATCTCCGGGACCACCCATATGTAAAAATGTATGCACACATGACTGTAAGTCGCTTTGGATAAAAAGCGTCTGCTAAATGGCATATTATTATTATTATTATTAATACCAAAACACTTTGAAACGCTGATGTGAGTTGGGATCTTGAATGCAACCCAGATCATCATTATTACTGTTGAGAGTTCTGCAACCCTCTGTATAGTGTCACTGTACCTGTTGTGTTGTTTACAGGGATGAAAACGTTGCCAAATATACTTTGTTTGAATGACATTTGATCATGTATGTTGTCAATATAATGTTTCAGCGGAGTGCTCAATAGACTGGTAAGTATCAGTTATGAATGGAATTGTTCCATTTCTCACTGTTCTCAAAACAGGAATTGCATGGTTCCACCTGGTTTGGCCTCATAGTGGAGAACCTACATTAGACAACCCTTTGGCTGTGAATGAAAGTACAGTACCATCTTTCGCTCACAAAGAGCCAGACACCTCAAAGTACAAGGAAAAACATTATTCTTGTTTTTTTACAATGAACACATGCAGTTGATGAGTTGGTCTTCATTGTTTAGTCTGAGAACCCTTTGACTTGTGGTGTATCCTGGTTTTGTGTGTGTGTGTGCACGCATGCCTACAGGGACATGTTCATTAGGCACAAAACAGTGCTTACTTAACGACCCAGGACTCAGTGTTGTGTCTCCCTGTGTCCAAACTAACAAAAGATGACACTCTTTGTATAATATATGTACATCATACAAAAGAAACTTGGACTTTAAATATGTGTTTATTTTTTGTACAGAAGGAAACTGCATGCGATGATTGTTAACTTATTGTTCATCTTCTATAGCCCTGCTTATACCTGGTTCTAACTTGGGTCCTTTGTCCTGATCTTGTCCACATTCTAGAAAATCAAAAGACACATTGTGATCTGATCATTCTGCCCACTTCCGGAGGTAGTCAGGCACACAGTGTGTAGATCTGGACAGAGAAAACATTTAAATCATCATTCTGCCATCTAAAATCATTGACAGGTGGCACCATTGACTGATTACATCAATATATCTTACAATAAATAAATATTATCTTTGAAAGAATAGCTGTGAAACTATTTGCATAAAGGAAGGGACCAGGAAATCTGGTCACAATGCAGACACAGTGGATGGACAACAGACACATTTTAATTGCACGTGTAGACACATTTCTGGAACTGTGGGCACACTCAGAATGTAGACAAGATCAGAACAACGAAACTATGAAAGCACCAGGTATAAACGGGGCTTGTGATGTATGCAGTTTCTTATCTAAAGGAAACATCTAAAAAAACAAGAACTTTCGTAACTGCTTTTTTCTTCAACCTTCTCTATTCCATACATACAGTGGGGTCCGAAATTATTGACACCCTTGATAAAGATGAGCAAAATTACTGTATAAAATAATTCAAATATTGAGCTATATTGTATGCTCCAAAAATTGGGAAATTATTTTATACTAATGCAATTGCTCAGAGAGATTTTGTTTAACAAGTAATAATCTTTTTTCTAAAAAAGGTAGGGGTCAAAATCATTGTTTTTAATACCTTTCAATACCTCACCTTGCGAGGATAACAACACAGCCTTTTTCTAAAATATTTTTATACACATGGCTATCTACTCTGATTTAAGAGCACTCTCCTTTGATTGTGCCAGAGCGCAGAATAACTAAAGAATTTACGCGCAACACCTGTTGAATATGACCGGTGTCAATAAACGTCTGCAAAAAAACGTAATTAAATTAAAACAGGGATGGTGTTCTCGGGGTGATGAGAGGTGTTGGGTTTGCGCCAGACAGTGTTTTCCTTGATGGCCAAAAAGCTCAATTTTAGTCTCATCTGACCAGAGTACCTTCTTCCATATGTTTGGGGAGTCTCCCACATGGCTTTTGCGAACACCAAACGTGTTTGCTTATTTATTTCTTTAAGCAATGGCTTTTTTCTGGCCACTCTTCCGTAAAGCCCAGCTCTGTAGTGTACGGCTTAAAGTGGTCCTATGGACAGATACTCCAATCTGTGCAGCTGCTTCAGGGTTATCTTTGGTCTCTTTGTTGCCTCTGATTAATGCCCTCCTTGCCTGGTCTGTGAGTTTTGGTGGGCGGCCCTCTGTTGGCAGGTTTGTTGTGGTGCCATATTCTTTCAATTTTTTAATAATGGATTTAATGGTGCTCCGTGGGATGTTCAAAGTTTCTGATATTTTTTATAACCCAACCCTGATCTGTACTTCTCCACAACTTTGTACCTGACCTGTTTGGAGAGCTCCTTGGTCTTCATGGTGCCGCTTGCTTGATGGTGCCCCTTGCTTAGTGGTGTTGCAGACTCTGGGACCTTTCAGAACAGGTTTATATATGCTGAGATCATGTGACACTTAGATTGCACACAGGTGGACTTTATTTAACTAACTATGTGACTTCTGAAGGTAATTGGTTGCACCAGATCTTATTTAGGGGCTTCATAGCAAAGGGGGTGAATACATATGCATGCACCACTTTTCTGTTATTTATTTTTTAGAATTTTTTGAAACAAGTTATTTTTTAAATTTCACTTCACCAATTTGGACTATTTTGTGTATGTCCATTACATGAAATCCAAATAAAAATCTATTTAAATTACAGGTTGTAATGCAACAAAATAGGAAAAACGGCAAGGGGGATGAATAATTTTGCAAGGCACTGTAACTGCTGTTTAACAGGAATTGTATTTATTTATTCCAAGTGCTGAGCTATTAGTGTAACTGACATGTTACTTTGGCTAATGTTTCATCCCCTCTCGAGTGAAGTGAATAAACTACTAGCAGCTAGTTTAGTTAGGTAGCTAGTAGCTACCACAGCCAGTTCAGCACTAGCTAGCCTCTAGCAATCTGCTAATTAGCAGTATCAAACAGCTTGTGTGTGTATGGAAATGTTTTGTAGCCTTTGTTTTGTCCCATTTCAACAGAAGTAAATTTGATGATGTACCATTAGCTAGAGCTAGCCAAAAGTTGGCTAACGTTAGCTAGCTTGCTAGATCACTAACTTTAGCTATTATTTTTGCCTCAATCACACTAGACCTGGATCAAATGATGAAACCAGCGGCCAAACGATTGAAGACCGATATTCAGACATTTTTTCAGCACAATGTGAGTTTTTATTAGTCAGTATTACAATGTAACGTTGTTGATCTGTCAGATTCCTTAGCTTATTCCCTAATTTTCACACTGACAAGGTATAAACAGTTCTACAGGCTTCACCGTCATTGTGCACAGTCAGTACACAACACTATGCTCATCATATGGTGACAGGTGTCCCTGCAGGGTCAGACAGCCAGGGAAGATCAGTCTACGGAGCTCAGGTGAATTTTGCAGTATATTATAACAATCAGTGAATGGATACAAAGTTCCATCTTGAGTTGATGGGTAGACTACAGTCTGGGATCTAGGAATAAGGGTCATTTCAATTATTGAACCATTGATTATATTATTTGATAATTTAATGTATAAATGTACACCAAGGTAATTATTTGTCATGCTTCATCTGAGCAGGATCAGATGGTGACGGGTCTCATCAGGGTCAGGCAGCCAGGGAACTTTTGCAGACAAAAATGTATTCTCTCTGTGCAGCAAACAGTGGACAAGCAAGAAACTATTTTAAGGCAGTCTGACAAACCTCTAAAGTTGATTTCCAAACTGTATCAAGGGTTGATAGAGGCTTTTCCCAATGTGAGAAAGACCTGGGAGATGCTATTGATGATGATGAATGGCTACAGATATGTTAGAATGCCCAATCATGTTCATATAATCTCAGACATAAATTACTGCAGTTTAAGACCTCTGTAGCTCAGCTGGTAGAGCACGGCGCTTGTAACGCCAAGGTAGTGGGTTCGATCCCCGGGACCACCCATACACAAAAATGTATGCACGCACGACTGTAAGTCGCTTTGGATAAAAGCGTCTGCTAAATGGCATATTATTATTATATTATTATAAGACCATCCATAGAACATACTATATGCCAGTGAAACTGAATATCATGCACTCAGAAATGTTATTCTTCTGCTAGAGGTGTAAAACACAAAAGGGGAGATATTTGCATATGTTATAGTCTTGTGAAGGCTGGCTGAATTCTGGCAAAGAGTATGTACTTTTATCTCAGCATGTCTACAGATTCTCCCTTCTCCCTGTTTTTGTTTGCTAAGAAATGCATTGCCATTTATTGGAAGGTTGGTTATCCTCCCACAGTGGATGGCAGAAATGTCAAGTTATGTATCACTAGATTTGATTTATTACAAGGTTAAGGGCATACTGTGCAACTTTCACAAGGTCTGGAGGTCTTACATGGAATACTGTACGACAAAGGAGTCTGTACTGAAAACATGCCCACGTCAGGGGAGATAACTATTTACAGTGGGGAGAACAAGTATTTGATACACTGCCGATTTTGCAGGTTTTCCTACTTACAAAGCATGTAGAGGTCTATAATTTTTATCATAGGTACACTTCAACTGTGAGAGACGGAATCTAAAACAAAAATCCAGAAAATCACATTGTATGATTTTTAAGTAATTCATTTGCATTTTATTGCATGACATAAGTATTTGATCACCTACCAACCAGTAAGAATTCCGGCTCTCACAGACCTGTTAGTTTTTCTTTAAGAAGCCCTCCTGTTCTCCACTCATTACCTGTATTAACTGCACCTGTTTGAACTCGTTACCTGTATAAAAGACACCTGTCCACACACTCAATCAAACAGACTCCAACCTCTCCACAATGGCCAAGACCAGAGAGCTGTGTAAGGACATCAGGGATAACATTGTAGACCTGCACAAGGCTGGGATGGGCTACAGGACAATAGGCAAAAAGCTTGGTGAGAAGGCAACAACTGTTGGCGCAATTATTAGAAAATGGAAGAAGTTCAAGATGACGGTCAATCACCCTCGGTCTGGGGCTCCATGCAAGATC